CACAAAAATCGAAGTTTATCTGTTTTTTTTAGTTGCTGTTAATTAAAAACTTGAGAAATATATAGTACTTAAATTTGAATTATAATCTACAGTTTGATACCAAAGTTATTGTCATAAATTCATGAAATATTAGTTCAATAAAATCTTAAATGCGAGTGAACAAAGATGACTGGCCTTTCACCCGTGACATTTATTGAAAGGGTTAATACCATATTATGTATAACCAATAGAAATCCAGAGTTTTCATCTATCAAATGACATATAATTTTAGGCTGTTTTCTGAACAGAGAATTGCTATTTTCAATGTTAGTACAAGCTTCGTTCCCACTGGAACAATAAAGATTAGCTTGGATGATTTTGTAACAGATCTTGTTTTATAAATTACAGAAATCAAATCTGAGGTTTTTTGAGATGAAGAAAAGTATTTTTAATCTTAACATGAAAATCATTTTGCATGCAGACTAGTAAAAAAAAATACTTGATATGTTCACAGATAAATCTTTTTTTAGTTCAGTAAAAATACTTTGCTATGTGAAAGACTTGTAATGCTTACTGAAAAACTGCCAAATTTTGTGAAGATATACACACTGTATTAAAAGTTAGTAGTATCAAATCTGTAAAGACTTTAAATGAGTACAAAGAGGTCATGTGGTCAGTCACATTGACTGAGCCAGTGTTGAGAGAGAGAGAGAGAGCTAATATATAAAACATTACAGTTTATATCAATAAAATTTATGAAAATTTTGAATTCTATACATTGAATCATTTTGATGCAATGAGTTGCGTATGACTAAAGAGCACAATCCGATCACTTTTTCTAAATTCTTTTTCAATGTGGTATTATTACCACAGTTAGTAATCACTAGCACAAACAGCCAATCATAGGGTGGCATTTCTGCTAGTAAGTGTAATGGGCTGATATGCTAACCCCATTAAGAAATTAAATTTAGTCTTCATTTCTAGTTTTTAGGTTGCCATTTAATAAATTAAGGGGAAAAAAACGTTGTTGATCAACCAGTCAATATAAAAATTTAAAGGAACAGGAAGAAGGCACAACATATTCCAGTAGTTTGTAGATATCTATTTAAATCTCAATTTTTGAAATTGTTTTTTACAACATTCACTACTGGTGGGTCAACACATGCATAATATTGTGAGAGATTTTGTATCAAAAATTGGAAAAAGAAACAACTAAAACTTCAATAAACACAACAAACAGTGATCTGAAGATGGATATATTTGCCCAAATTGTTGTTTAGAATTAAATACATCTTTCTTTTTTTAATGTTGTGGTAGTAATTTTTTCTTCCAATTTTTAAAATATTTATTATGAATTTTTTTGTATTATGTTTGTGATGGTTTGAAAGCATCATTAACAACATAGATGACTTTGATAGTCAAGTTTGTCCTTATATTAGTTATATTATTGTAATTTTGATTGTCAGTATAATGTAAACTTGTGTTTATTTCTATGAACTTGGTAAATATATTTTCCAAATTTAGTATGTGCTATTTGTCACATGCATGAAAGACCATACTCATTCACATTTTGTATTACAATTTTAAATACCCATGAAAGCAGAATTGTGTTATCTATGAAAATACAAGCAGCATAGTAATAGATCTTTAATTCATTGGGATTGTTTGTGAAGCAAATGGAGAAGATGACAGATAAGGATCTTGTAGAAAGTGAAGAAGACAATCAAAACTAAACTTTTGAATAATGTAGTGCTGTGTAGTTTGTTCTTTTATATAGTTTCATAAAATCTAACTTTGCTAATTTAATGTAAATACTTGTGATGTTAAGAGATAACTATTTTCTTCCTTCTTCCCTCACATGACCCATTATAAGTATCCATACATATGTGTTCATTTGCTGACGTAAATCACTGCACATTTGATTTTTCTCAAGAAAAGTCTGATAAAGGTTACCGTGCTTCATAACAATATATGTTGAGTGTTACGTTACCTTCGGAAACATTTGTTGTGTAACTGGTAAGAAATCATGGCAAAATCAATCTGAGCCCAGTGCGTAGAATCAAGAAAACTGTGTTACTATGATACATCATACACAGAGGCAATTGTTTTATATATATGTGAAAGAAAAAATTTCACAACAAACAGAATAAATACACATTAGTGACATTCATGTTACACAATATGGTTTGTCTGGATACTAAGGACTTTAATCTTCTGACTTTTTTTGAAATAACTGAATGTTTTGCAATATGAGTTCCAACAACTTTTTTGTGTCAGAAGACAAAATCTAAAGACATTTAAAAGACTGTATTTACTAGAATTCTTACTAGAAAATTAGGAAACATTATTTGTACCATTTTGAAAATGTATCTTAAAACTTAGCAAAAAATCTATGAACATACTGCAAAAGCCATTTATCTACTTATATTGTGTTCCCAAAGCCAATTCAAATCTTCACAAGAAATTAAGTGGTAGTTTTAAATTCAACCATTTATATTTGTTTATTTGCAGGCTATTGTTCTAGTAGTCATCATGACATAACTGAAGGCATGGCTACTGATATGGCAGAGTACCTAAGGTAAGATTTCTATGTTATCTGAGGTGTTTTGTTTTTTAGAAACATTTGGAGAAAAATATTATTTTGGATTTAAATTTTTTATCAGGATTCAGTGTTAATGTAGATTGAATTTTTATCCACCTTGGTAACTCCAGACATTTGCAGTTAGTGAAAAATTGATATTTGATTAATTGTCAGTTTCATAAATTGTTTGCATTCAACTAATTGATTGTTCTCACATGAAACTTGAATATTTGGAATAATTAGAAATAGTAATTATCAAAAGCACTAATTTTGATTATTTTCAAACGTCATGACACTAATCGAATTAGCTGAACAACCTTGAATCAATTGAAAATAAGAAGTCATAATAGTAATATTTTGATTACCTGATTATTTTCATGTTTGAAGCTTAATTTTGATTAATCTGTTATTTTACATGAACTGATCATAGATAATTGTCCAACTGAATTCTGGGATTTATAATTAGAGAAATGGGGTGTGTGGCTTCATAGTTGCATACAGGCTATGTTCAACTTGGGGCATGATGGTTGATAAAACAAAATACACGGCGTAGCTATCTAATGAACGAATATTTGCTGTAAAATTCTTATTAATGCTATAAGTGTAGCTACCAGTTTGGCAACCAATTTTGATTTCAATCCTTTTTTTGGTCACACCTTTTTTTTCACAATTAAGGTATTTTTGATTAGATTTCATAACTTTTTTGTCAATACACCCCAACAAACCACACCAAGTAAAAAGTGACACTCAATAGTAACCCACATTAGCTTTAGGATCACAATCCTATTATTTGGAACAGATCTTTACAGAACCAACCAGATTCTTTAAAATATATGGTTGTTGTTTTCCCTATCTAAAACAGCATTAATAGCTTCCTTTATACTAATGCCATGGAATTTAGATTAACTGTTTCTTGTCATCACCCCCATGCAGTTGGCACAGCCGTATCAAGCATCATTATTTATGTTAATTTCTTAACTCTCTCAACATGGACTTGGTCAATTTGACTGACCACGTGACCTCTTTGTACTCATTTAAAGTCTTTATAGAATTAATACTTTTACCTCTCAATATAGTGTGTATATCTTCACAAAATTTGGCAGTCTTTCAGTTAATATTACGAATCTTTCACATATACAAAAAACTTGTATTTTTAGTGAAATATTTTAATAAAATGAAGATTAGTTCGTGAATATATTGAGTATTTGTTTTGAATAGTCCGTGTGCAAAGTAATTTTCATGATAAAATTGAAAATACTTTTCCTCATCTCATAAATCTCAGATTTCCTTTGTGTAATCCTTAAAATCTCCTAAATGCATTTCAAACGTTTTTCTTCAGTAAAACTTTATAGTTTCTAAATAACCCTTTTTTCTTTCTAGAATGACTTCAAATTGTAACCTGAAACTACATTTGTTTATCCTAAGTAGCTCTAAGTTTGTAACAGTATACATCTATTTATAATTACATTTTATTGTTTTATTGTCCCTTTATTTATTTTATTGTTCTAGAGAAAAAGGAGTTAATTTAGGTTTTTCTTTTCTTTCTTTTTTTTTCTGTTGTTACGGGGTCGGTTGAATTGATCGATCCCATTTTGAGATAGAGTAGAGAAAATAACAGATAAACTATAAAGTTTTACTGAAAAAAATGTTTGAAATGCATTTAGGAGGTTTTAGGGACCACACAGAGGAAATTTAAGATTTTTGAGATGAGGAAAAGTTTTTTTAATTTTAACATGAAAATTACTTTGCACATAAACTATTCAAAACAAATACTCAATATATTCACGAATAAATCTTTATTTTATTTTATTAAAAATACCTCACTAAAAATGATGACTAAAAGTGAAAGACTTATAATATTAACTGAAAGATTGCCAAATTTAATGAAGATATACACACTATATTGGGAGGTATAAGTATTAATTCTATAAAGACTATAAACGAGTACAGAGAGGTCACATGTTAGTCAAATTAATTACACCCATATTGAGAGAGTTAAGCCCCATAACTCTGCTTCCTAGAAGTGTATAAAAAATTATCTTTTTTTTTTCTAATTCTCACTTACTGAATGAACAATATGTGAAGGTTTTCTGCCAAATATTTATTTTTTTGAACACAAACATGAGAAGAAAAATACAAATAAGAGAATTTAAAAAAGTTGAATAGAACTAAGTTTGGGAAATGGCAAGAAACAATGAGAAGAAAATTATGAATCAGAGGATGAGAAGAATTCAAATAACAACACAGGAAGAAAAAAACGAATCGGAGAAGCTAAATTCAAACTGTTTGCTTTTAAAAAAAGTTGAATATAGTTTGGGAAGTGGTGACAGACAAATCAATTAAAAATTGTGGTTACAATATGAATAATTAAGATAATGGAGATGCTTGACTGGTACATTGAGCTGTGAATCGTGAGGGGACCTTAGAATCATGCAGTGGAACGTGGGTATTTTATGTTGGGAATTAAATAAAAAAACATTTCATAAATGTATTCTTTGTGATTATGCAACATGTCTGTAACAGTATCCAAAAGCTAAATTTCATATGTGCATATTAGGAAAATTAAATCATAGCATGTGCAAGCTCACTTTTTGGAAAGAAGTTTTGTAATATGTTAATTTCTTCATCATCCAGTATAACTGTATTAGTTTCTGTATTATTTGGTCAACTTGGGATTGGATGTATATACGTTTCTTTACCATCCAATAAACCTTAGGTAGTATCAGTGCCATTTTCTGGATCATTCAGTAGGCATGGAGTAGACATTTTTTTTTTCAATACCTAAATCATAATACATAAAATGTTTTCATTGGCAAGAAAGTACATCAGTAACTGTAACATCAAATGTTTCAGTAGTAGAATGCACGTCAGTTGCAGTAACCACATGTTTTACGAAGTGCATCACATGGTGTAACAAGCTATAAATTTCAAAGTGTAAATGCTCACTCATTATTTTACTATGTTTATATATTCACTAACCATAAGATAAGCTCTGTATTTCCTTCCATATATAATGTTATGCTGTTTTAATATTCAGTAAAAGGAGATACAGAGCTTATCTTATGGCCACATATAATGTTATGCTGTTTTAATATTCAGTAACCATAAGATAAGCTCTGTATCTCCTTCCATATATAATGTTATGCTGTTTTAATATTCAGTACTCTTTTATTAGCTTCTGAAATATACAATTATTGACATTTTAACTGGCATATGTGACATTAGATTTAGAAAAAGGAAATTGGATGTGAAAATCTTTTGTTGTTTAGAAACTAAAAATCTTATTGACCTAGCCTTAGTGAAAAAGATTAAAATTAAAGAGTTCATCAATGTTCGATATGAATTCAGAGTATTTTATACCTTTTTAAAAAATTGAGCGAAATATTTTATTTCAGGCAAGTTGTTTTTAATATGCCCCACGTACTGCTGGAGAGTGATTTTATGACAAGCTTCTTTCAACCTGCTACAAACAGCATTCAGTCCAATTCTCAGGTATCAGATCAAGTTGCAGGCAACTTCAGGGGACAGACAAATAGTCATGACAATTCTCGGCTGAGGTCATTTACGTATACAATTCTCATATGTCGGACAGCCCTTCTCATAGTAGTACGGGTGGTCAACTCTGTAGTCCTTCATCAACTAACTCAAATTCTCAGCAACAGAAGCATTTAGGCCCTGATGATAAGTGTGTTCTTTTCTTTTTTAATAGTATATAAAACTGGGTTGTTTTTTATTATTATTATTAGTTTAGTTTATATATTTCTTAGATTTACATACTTATAGGAAATTTACATAGAATTACCAGGTTTTCAATTTTGACCTTAGAGGGTACAATCAACACTTGTAGACTCGTGTTCATTAACCAGTTCATCTGATCGTATTATGCAGAATAATTATCAAGGAGATTAAACATGAATTTTTTATTAATTTTTTTTATTTTTAGTATTGATCTTATTTATGTTAGTCACTTGCAACAATAGATTTTAAGATCAGCCAAGTGAGAGTTAACATGTTTTAATAGTGCCATATGGTCTTAAACTGACAATCAGAAAGTTTGTTTTTTTCTTTATACTTTCTAATGTTTGTTAAACGTTAATATTTTTTTCATTTCCTGAATGAACTTTATCTACTACATACATGTGTTGAATAGAAATTAGATGCAAGTTGTTGGAAATTATAACAAATCTGTGTTTCTAATATGGTGATACAGGACATAGTCTATTTTCATTTCTTTTAAATGCACTCACAAATTCTGAAAACAGAAAATTTCAAATACTAAAACTAATTGATATTGTGGTAAAAAATAAACCATGTAAACTGTTATAAATACCCATTAGGACTAAGAGTTCTGAAACTTGCCTACTACGTCAAATATTGTTGCTTGTATAACATATACATTACTTTATGATACATGTACCAGTAAGAATAACTCAAGCAACAATCCAAAATCATCTATGTAACTAAAAAAAACACAGTTTGTATAACAATATACCCATAGTTACTAAAATTACTTTTTTTATTCACAACAAATATATATACTATTTCTGACCTTGTAATTTTAGCCAGTTGTTTTCTAAACACTAAAGCTTTTGTATAAGATTAGGTAAATTTCTAAAAGATCTTGACTGAAGCAGTTATTCTAAAGTTTTATGACTAATAAAAATATGAATTGTGGAAGACTGACATATCAAGTTATCTACAATACAAAGTAGCATATAATTAACCCTCTGGAGATGGGTACACTCTTCTGTGCATGTCATGAGGTTTTACTTAGTTATATTCAAAATTTAATTAAGCAATTTTGTTTGCTTGTAATTAATCACAAAGCTACACAATAAGCTATCTGTAAGAGTATTGAAACCAGGTTTCTAGCAGGGTAAGTTCGCAGACATACCACTGTGCCACTGGGGGGGCTTAAGCAATTTTACAATCAATGTATGCTAATAAAATTAGAATGAAAATTTACATTATAGTTCAAAGTTTTATATTGTCTAAATTATAATATATTTATTTGAAAAGAAACCTTAAAGAAAAATTCTTAAACTTTAATTATTTTGTCACATGATGCAAAAGTTCAGAGTTTGAACTTTTCATCTCTGTAACTTGGATACTAGTAAATTACACCCTACTTCTTTGTATAAATAGAAACTAGGTTAATTGCTCTGTCTACACATTCTACTTTGAAGTTCCTTAGGGCATGTTGAGAGAAAGGAGAAATAAATTTCTCTGAACTCTTGATAGATGCCATGCCCACTTTCTACACATAGAGTTGCAATTTCTCAGCCAATTATACCCAGTTGAGCTAGATCTTTAAAACCAATAGAAAGAGCACTTTTTAAAATACATTCTCTCAACAGTTGTTCTAATATTGGCACAAAGAATTCCATAGAGAACTAGTCAAACTGCTCTTAGCATTGTTGTTGCTTTTGTCCTCACTACTTTAGCATTGTTTCTCACTTAGAAATACATTAGTTAGATACAGTTGTATTTAGGTTTTAATTTTATATTTTACTGAATTGTGTGTTATTTATGTTTTAAGATGCACATTTGAAAGGATTAATAATTTTTTTGAATATTAAACCATCTTCTGAATTCACAGGGGTTAGCAAGCGTGCCATTCTACCGATGGCTGAAGTTTCTCAAACCCTGATACTGTAATATTGGCTGGAGATGCCCATAACAATGTATTACAGTGAAAAATAAAAATGCTAAAGGACAGGAATGGAAAATAAAACATTAAAAATAAATTTATGTGAAAATGTAAAGACATGGAATTAACAATATAACCAAAAGATGTTTCAAGATTATTTGATGAAATTTGGGGGAAGGTGTGTACACATTTCTTTTTTAGGCATTTTATTGCACTATACATTGAAAATAGCCAGTTAGTGACAGGTTAGAGAAAATAGAAAATATAAACATTACCTTAAAACAACTTACGCTATTCATTCAGAAGGTTCTAGGAGTTATGTTGAAAATAGCCAGTTAGTGACAGGTTAGAGAAAATAGAAA